ATAGATAGATAGATAGATAGATAGATAGATAGATAGATAGATAGATAGATAGATAGATAGATAGATAGATAGATAGATAGATAGATAGATAGATAATCCAAGTCTCCTTCTTAAAATTGGGGCAAGAGATGAAATATCATAGAGGAACATAAAAGCTGAGATTAGTTACTAAGAAGACGTGGATGATCCCCTAAAGTAAAAGGGCTAGGGTGCTGGTGGTTCACACTTGACATATTAGCTACTCTCAGTTCAAAGCCAACCCAGGCTGAAAAGTCTTCAAGAGTTCATCTTCAAAATAACCAGCAAAAAGCCTGACTGAAGGCATGGCTCAAGTAGTGGAGTGCCAGCCAAGCAAGCAAGCTGAGTATGAGGCCTTCCTTGAGTTTAAGCCCTAGTACCCCCAAAAAGAAAAAGGAAGGAAGGAAAGAGAGAGAAAAAGAGGGAGAGAGAAAAAGATAGAGGGAGAGAGGAAAGAAAGGAAAAAAGGACAGAAAGAAGGAAGAAAGAAAGAGAAAGAAGGAAAAAAAGAAGCAAAGAAGCAAGCATAGTCTAGGACCGTGGGATGAGCCAGAGACTGAGATGAACTCTGACCCTGGCCAACCTGGGCCACGGGGGACCCCAGAAGAGGCTGCCTGCAGACTGGGAAAGGGGGGAACGCAGGAAACCAGATTCATGCAGTTCTTTCTGGGTTGGTCTCGGGATTTGCAGAAGAGCAAACAGGTCTTCACAGTCCCTGTTTCTCAGTGAGACTGGCCCTGCGCCGGCCAGCAATGGGTTTAACAATGTCCCCATTGTGTCCCCAGTAGCCATGTTGGGCTCCAGGCCACACAGCCTAATCAGCTCCTTTTCCGTCAGCTGGATGTAGAGCCCGCCCTGAACCCATCACGTGAGCTGAGGAGTCTGGGCTCTGAGGTTAGGAGAACCACTGTCTGATAGTTTCCAAAGCTTCATTCTGTCCATCTTCTCATTCCATCTCCACCGTGAATGAACTGAGTGCCATGGGGAGGTGGAGACTCTCCCAAGGTTATACAGCAGCAGGTGCTGTGCTTGTACCGAGATTAGTGCTACCTTCCAGGGCCAGTCCTGCTTCCAGCTTAGGAACTGGATGCTGGCAAAGCCGCCTGGCGATCTGAGGAGCCCCGGCTGGCCTGGCATGCCAATCTCTGTCATTGAAAATGCCCTCATGCTGAGGAGTTCGCAAATACAACCACAAGCTGGGGGGTTTTAGGCAGTAAGAATTCTCATAGCATCTGAACATTTCCACTTTTTTAAAGATGATCATACTTCAGAGAAGAAAGTATCATCTTCTTCCAATTTCACTGAACTTTGTGAACATTCTGATACATTTAGTCACTTTCCCATAGGCAACAGATTTTTGTTGTTAACCTTTCAAGTTCACACATACTTGTAAAATATTTTATGGGGTACAATGTGAAATAGGCATATGCCTCTGTAAGGCCAATTTTGATGCATACATGCCTATGGTACATTTATGCCTGACAATGGTCAGGACCTGAGCCAGATTCCCGTGGTTTAAGATTGGGCTGCGCTACTAATTAGCTGAATGACGTTAGCAAGTCATTTAAACAATCTGAGCTTCCTCCTATGTGAGCTGAGTGTAGCAGTTCTATTCTTTGAGTGTAAAGACTGAAGAAGTGTTGGTGGAAAGGGTCTGGGTTTGGTGTTCAATATTTGGTATTATTGCTTCTATGATTATTACCATTGTTTCTGAGTGCTGACTATATTGTCATACCACATTCTTTGTGGAGATCGTATTTCATACATTCACCAAACTCTCTGAGGTTGGTATGGTAATTATCTGTGATTTACAAATGAGGATATTGAGGTTCTGAATGATAACTTACCTGAGATCCTATAGCAAGGAAGTGGCAGAGCCAAGATTAGAACCCCTGTCTTGACTCTAGAACTTACCCTCTTGCCAGTTGTGGGATATGTCTTTGTTAAGTGAACTTCCTGTGCAGGACAGGGAGCAGATTCTCCCATTGGGTTTTAAGCCAGCCTGGGGATTTGATCTTCCCTCTGAGCCACGTAAGCGCCCCCTCAAAGGCCCACAGTGGGAGCTGCCAGGGAAGGCCTCGAACTGCCCACTTGGAACTAACCGACACGCTGTCTGTGTCCACAGGACATCGAGAAGACCATGAGCACGGCGCTGCATGAGTTGCGGGAGCTTGAGCGGCAGAACACGGTCAAGCAGGCGCCAGATGTGGTGCTGGACACCCTGGAGCCCCTGAAGAACCCGCCAGGCCCCATCAGCTCGGAGCCTGCCAGCCCCCTGCACACCATCGTCATCCGCGACCCCGACGCCGCCATGCGTCGCAGCAGCAGCTCCTCCACCGAGACCATGACCACCTTCAAGCCCGCCCTGTCCGCCCGCCTGGCTGGTGCCCAGCTGCGCCCACCTCCCATGCGGCCAGTGCGGCCTGTGGTCCAGCACCGGTCCAGCAGCAGCAGCAGCTCGGGTGTGGGCAGCCCAGCCGTGACGCCCACAGAGAAGGTGTTCCCCAACAGCTCCACAGACAAGTCAGGCACCATGTGACCCGCAGGCTAGGCAGCACCACCATGGCCCACTGTGGCCCACCCAGGCCTGGGGTGGCCTCGGTGGCTCCCACTTGCTTCCCGGTGATGTGGGCCTCAGAGGGCAGGGCCCAGGAGATCAGCCTGGAAGGGTTTGTATGTGTCTGTGGAGAGCAGAGGCCCAGGCATTAGCTGATGCTCACACTCAGCCATGCGAATCCCACAGACCTCTTGTGTGCAAACAGACACGCAGAGGAATGCTGGAGCAAGAACAACCCAGTGTAGCCATCCCAAGATCCAGGCAACATGCTCATGGCTTCTCCTGCATAGCGCCACTGGAAGGGTAGTCTCTCAACCTATGTATATATGTGTGTGTGTGTATATATAGATATGTACACACACATATATATATTCATATATATGTATGTATATGTCTGTAGGTGTGTGTGTATATATATATATTTATGCATCTATATACATATACTAGATCTGGACATACACACATGCTAAGTGTATATAGTATCTCCTTTTTCTTTTTATGAAACTTAGATTTACCTCAGACCCATGCCACCAAACGTCTCCCACTGAGTTATTTGGTGGGATTTGCAGGGACTTTTCTGGGAGAACTTAAGAGGGCCCACAGTAACTGCAAATGAAGCAATATACCACTAACCTGCAGAATAACAGACAGAAACAGTCTCCCACTATCTCCAGAAGTCGTGGCCTTCCAGAACAGTCTGCCCCCTAAAGGAAGGGTGGGGCAGGGGGGTACCCCAAACAGGCTGCTTCTAGAGGTGGGGAACCCTTCCTAGAAAACCCTTCATCTACCCCAGAGACCCTGATCTTCCACTCGGAGGCCAAAGGCCAACTTTGTCCCCCAAAGCATGGGAGGAATTGCTGAGAAGCCCCCTGGCCACAGCGTCCTTGTGTTTGCGTGTGGAGTCGGGATGCGGGATGGTGATACCTAAATCCCACTGTAGCACAGTACTGTGTGTGGTCGGGGTCGGGGAGGAGAACAAAACAAAAACAGCGATGTGGAATACTTCAAAACCTAGAAACGCTTTAGGAATAAATCTGTGGTAACTGTAGAGGTTTAACTTATATCATCTTCAAAGATTTAATTTTCTCTTTTCCTCATTCTACTAATTATACTGTGTCAGAATTGGAACTAAGCAGGCAAGGAGGCATTGAGTCACACTGTCTTCATTTGCCATCAGGCCATGGTAGGCCTTGGCTTGAACCTCTGGCATGAAGCACATGAGCCATCACTGCCCAGTCAGACCAAAGGCGGAGGTGGGCAAGTCTTGGCAATTTCTTTGCTAGAGAGCACTGTTAAGTTGCGTTATGCAAGTGAAAACAGCTTCCCAGCCTCTCCCCTTCCCCTTCATCCACATCCTCCAGAGCAATTAATGTGGGTGAAAATATGGCAGCAGAAAGGAGGGCCGTGATTTTCCATTGTAAGGAGCAAGACATGTTGCTTCTCCCAGGAGAAAGACCTTCCGAGATGCTCTCACTTGATTCTATTTTACCTCCTGTTCTGATGTCTCCGTTTCCCAGAGACAAGCTGCTTCTGGATAAGAGAACACAGGCAAATCTGATCATAACAGGACCACTACCCGTATTTACCCCTTTATGTTAAACCTAGGGGCCCTTTTTCTATTTTCTCAAGCATTTTCTCTCTCTCTGTCTCCCTCTTTCTCCCTCTCCCTCTCTCTTTCTCTCTTTCTCTCTGTCTGTCTGTCTCTCTCTCTCTCTCTCTCTCACACACACACACACACAGACACACACACACTCACACACACACCTTTCTTAGGTTTGACGTTCAAGTCCAGAGCCTCAGCCCCAATCTTGCACGGAGCTGTGTGACGCAGTGTGGTACTCCACCTTTGCAGCCCCACATCTCTGCCCCATGAGATGAAGCTAATAGAGATCAAGGTGAGCCAGCCTGGCGAGCTGGAGGGCATGGTACCAATACTAGTGCCCCTCTGATCATGAGGAAAGTGAAGCTATCAGATCCAAAGCCATCCAGACCTTTGGAAATCTCCTAATGGCATTTAAGAACTAGGCACTGGAATTTTCCGAGCAGCTCACTGAGAACCCTGAAATGTGGACTCGGGTCACCCGCGGATGCTGAATGTGCCATCATTGCATTTCCTCCCAGTAAATTTAAGTGTCCTTCCTTCTTTGGGCCTCCAGGCGTAGTGAATAACTCATACTTGGGGGTGTGGAGCAGTCAGCCATTATCCCTGTCCTATAGAACTGACACAGAACCCACACAGTGGAAGGAGGGATTAAGAATGCCAGGGAGAGGCCTGTGTGAACTTGGCCTACAGCTAGCAGCTCTTCTCTATGGCTCCCAGCTGTGAAGGACCAGCCTTCTGCCCACCTTTCAGCACGTAAAGATATCCCTGGATTAGAGTTGAGGCGAGTGAGACCCTGGGGTTTGCTGGGACCTGGCCAAGCTTTGACAGGCGGCTGGGAGCAGGGTTCGTGTCCTGCTGCAGAGGTCATTCGTTGGCTAGGTGCTACACCACCCAGCCGGGATCCAGCCCCAGACTTCAGTCACCCACCGGGCAAAATGCAACATGCTCTGGCTGCAAGCACCACAGTAGACAACTCTGATGTCTGACACCTATAACACCAGTTAGGCTGTGTGGATTTTTCTCTGAATTGATAGATTTCATTTTTCCTTACTGAAAACAGACGAGCCTTTCCCTGGATTGTCTGTAGGCAGAGCCTCTGCTGTTTTCTTTAAGCAGCTATCCCCCCCCCCCCTTCAGCATTGGCAAATGGCTGACGAGTTGACGTTGAGGGAAGCTTGCTTGACCATTCCCCACTCCTCCAGCCCCAAAGCTGAGCCTTGATGCAGAACAGATGGAAAAATACTTTCCACTCCACTCCCTTCCTCTCCACCGCTCGCATGTCTCTGCCGTGCTCCACGTCCACTCAGCCCGCCACTGTTCTCCGAGCATCGGCCTTCTCTCTCTCCACCTCCTGCCTGTCTTAGTCCACTATATATTGCTGTATTTGCTTCAATGCTGGAAAGTAACTGTTCAAATGTGAAACTGTAATTTTTAAAAAGGCTACGATTTAAATTATAGCCAACACCACTCACCAAATCTTTGCACCTAGTAGATAGATCGATGTAAAAACCAATACCAGAAACCTAACTGTACAGTGAGTGGGGGGTGGGGGGGCATAGTAACCTAGTTAGTAGTTCTCAATATAGCCAATTGTACAAGGGGAAGTAGTGGCCTCCTACTTGTTCATCGCCACTATTGAAAGCTGTGCTGATCAGTTAGTTGACAACGGGCATTTTCCTTTCTTTTCTTTTGCGCTATGGAATGACTTCTTAACCTTTGACTTATCCCCAAGGTCAACCCTTCTGTCTTTGTGTATAATGGACCTTCAGTCTATTTTAGGAATGAACCAGCAAGATGTTCATTGAAAACTGACCAAAGACAATGAATTCCTGGTCCAATTCCCTGGGTCTTGCCGCCGCGCCGCCGCTGAAGACCTTTCTTGGATAAAATTGAAAACAAGCCGTGCTTCCAGCGCACTCTTCCTCCTCGCCCACCCACCCCGCCCCTCCTTTTTCTCTTAAAAGAGCTGCTCTGAGCTTTGGGAGTCGATGACAACTCCTTGCCTTTCCTTGTTTTCAGTGCTAACGATTTCTCACCTTGAAGCGCCTTTTGAACCCGGGACAGAGCGCACTATCAGAGGAAAGTATGGGCTGGGGAAGAAGAAAGACTCTTCCTGGTTAGAGTCTTTTTTTCCCCTGAAGTCACTAAGCCAGGGGTCAGGAGAGATGTGGATTCCCAAGGGACCGCAGGTTTCTATCCAGTGACGAGTTCCGAGTGGGATGAGACACAGGGAGCTGGAGCCATCCTTTGGCTCCCCACGGCTGGACCCAGCGCTTCAGAGATCTGCCTTACAGACACTTCAAACTGGAGTGTGGTGTCCGCAGAGGAGCCCGTGGAGGAAGGGCCGTGCTGTGTGCTCCCTCCCGCCTGGAGTGCCTTGTCGGGTGTTTGTCTTTCTCCTTCCGTGGATGAAGTTGCAGCAGGCTGCCGGGACCTGGTCATCGTTTGTGCCCAGCAGATGGAGATACCGCAAGACTCAACTTCCTCGCAGTCTTTCTATCCCTAACTTTCCACACAGGGTTCCACACTAGAGCCCACGCCTCTTGTTCCCGAGAAGCCCCCCCACACACACACACACGGAGGAGTGGGGCCCTGCAGAGCAGGACTGGAGGCCAGAGGCACACGGAGGAGGGAAAGGGCAGAAAGGGGCAGGCTGGGGTGTGGCTTCCCTGATTTTCTGCTATGCAGAGCTAAATGCTGACATTTCGTGTCAACTTGCCCGGTTCTCCGGGTCTCCTCTCTTCCCCAGAGAATTCCAAGCAGAAAATGTCCTCACCTCATTGCCCCGGGTGCTGAGGGGGGCTCTGCTGTCGGGCGGGGCCTGCTGGCCCTCTGAGCTTGATCTGCCAGGCTCCCGCCGACCCAGCCTCCGGGACTGGCCAGGTGGCCATCGCTGCCCCTCGCCCGCACCCCCTTTCTGTGTGAACTGTCCCCTGGCAAATCGTAGAGCCGTTCGTTCCTTGAACCTGAACCACCAGAGGGCGCCTCCTTCCCTCCCTGAGGCTGGCGCTGCTGCCCAGGCCCTGCTTTCCAGCACCACGACTGTTTACATGGTTTGGCAGTAGGTTTGGTTCTGATTGCTTCAGAGTGGCTGGTCTCTTTTGTTTCCTTTGGTTTCCTTCCTCCCCGAATTGTGACAGGACAAACAAACCACCCTAAGAAATTGCTGGTTGCCTGTCCCTGCGTGACATGTGTTGCCCTCTTCCGGGTACCTTCTCTCTACCTTACAACCAAACGCCCGTCCTATAGAGAGTGTCTGACTGGATCCTCTGTGTGTATTCTGATGGTGCCTGCTGGTTTGATGTGGAGCTATCCTGTGAAATAAAACAGCTTAACTTTTCTCAAGCATGCTCTGGTGGTTTTTGGACAGAGGGTGGGGCTGGGAGGGAATTGGCAAGAGTTTGGGGACATGGTGCCGGTGGAGAGGTGCCTCGGGAGTGCAGTTCTGCCTTCTGTTCACTCCTCTACTGACCACCCTGGAAACCGGCCTGGCGATGTCCTTGAGCTCAGCTCCAACAAGGTGTTGGTCAACGCTTCAACTGGAGGGCCAGTGGGAGAAGGCTGCTTCGGAAGGGCTGTGGAGCCACCAGGTCTGGACAAGGCAAAGGGAAGGCAAGGAGGAACAGCAGCTGCCATCCTCTTCAACAGCTTAAGATCAATTCCCAGAGGCTGTGAGATGCTGATTTCTAATGCCACACTTCTGCATTTGTTGCCCAAACACTCATAAC